TATGAGCACATTCAAATCCGACTGCAACAGCGACGACGTCTAAAGTGCATATAAGTTGCAAATTCTTAATCAGTTGGCTAAAGATTACGAAATGATTCTCTCGTAACAGACGTATAAGATCGGACAGTATCCCAGCACAGACCTCCAACTCGTCATTGCCTTCTATCTGAAACTTCACGCTTTCCAAAATCACAGGAAGAGCAATCGACCGACACTCTATAATGCACGAAACTGACACACAGACGGTACACAGAAGCAGTAACGTCACTACGTTGTTTTGTGATCAATTCAGTGTGCACGAGGTCCTGAAGGCACATCATTTTTTGCTTGGTCAATCTGTCTTCCGGAACGTTTCGAATGAAATCGACCATTATCATTCTGTAAGTTGGTTATAGTACAGACCAGATCGACTCAATGAAACTTACGACAAATCCTCCGCATCAAAAACAATCATTACGTCACCGACGATACACGGCATGTACTTCAGAGCGGCTCCCTGACACAGTAGGCTCTGATCGCTCCTGCACAACATCAGCGACGAGATGGACACCAGAAGGGCGCGCAATAAGGACTGAAAGCGCTCCTGACCCGCCGTTGGTCCTTTTAGTTGCATATAGAGTTCGCGTGACTTGACGATAAACTTTATCAGATATTCTAACGACTTCAGCGCCTTCAACAGCTTTCCGCTTGATTGCTCTACATTATCCACATAGTCCTTCAATATTGGTATAAGCTTCCTCAATAATATGTATAACTTTCTATTCAGATGAGGCTAAACGACAAAAAAGTACTGGTAAGCCAGAGCAGCGCTGAAGTGTGAGTGTAAATACGTATCCATCACCGGTTTAAAGTTGTGGTACCGCCGCTCACCAACCAATCCGATAACATAAACCTGAAATTCACCGTGATATATGCCTATATCGCGAACGAAAAAATCATACCAGTGCATCGAACACAAGTTGGTCATAGTCGTTTGTGTTAATCAGGACGCTAAAGAGAGCATCCAGAATATGTTGCAGGAACTGAAAACATAAATACGTCAACTCCCATTAAAGAAAAATTTTTCAACAATTTGTTGTTAAAGTCTGTCAAAGTAAAGGGACGCTATCAGTTTTGGTTAATACTACAACCACAAAAGAATGAAAAATTAAATAACGATCAATTGTCAAAATTACTTAAATATCAACAACCCTAAGTATGTTGTTCAAGTATTTCGAAATAATGGCAAAGTGAAGCCGATTCAGTCAATGTTAACACAGTTTGAAAATAAACAAAGTTAATAATTTGTAACGCTCATACCGATACCACTTCGCAGGTGACTGTTAGCAGCAAGAGAAACAAGTCTGCTTCCTGTTTCTCGTGCCCCAACCATGAAATCAGAAGATCTATTACTTTAAATAAAGATTAATAATTTATTCAGTCAAAAGTGGCTTATGAGAGAAACCAGGCTCATGTACATGAAGGCACATATTCTAAACTTGGCCCACTAAAAAGAGAAACATTATTAGAAACCGACTAGAGTACTGGTGATGATTGACAGTGTCAACTAATCTGTATTGACATTTTGCTGCATAACTTCAGAGAAATAACTATGAAAACAATAAAGAAACGAACCTTCACAATCTCTTCTCCTCCTCGATCGCCCTCAGCTTTCATCAGTGCTTCGAGGCTGTGCTTTAAGTTAACTCGTTTCGACTCCCAGTCAAGTAAACCCAGCAAATCGACTAGAAATTTTTTTTTAAAAATTTCAGATGATAAGCGAAAGTTGAGAAGAAAAGAGAAAATATTTTCAAAAACAGGCATTGCATGACCGACTTACCATTTTGTGTGAGGCTCGTAGAGCAGACAATAGAACGTATTGTGAAATAGTCCTTGCTGCTTAGCACAAAACCGCCGGTAGGACTCTGGATCAAAGATTTGCTGGCCATGCCTGACCAACCTGACATATCAAGGTCAGACTTTGTGGCCGGAAGAGTCCGATAGGAAAAATCTAATTCGTCGTATTTTCTTTCCAGTCGATAGACAAGCATATCGTGTTGACCGTCGCGCAGAACAGTTCCCTCTGACTGACGCAGTCGAATGAATGATATGGCAAATGGTTTTTCTGCTTTGTCCTTTGCTAAATTAAACAGCTTTATTTCAAAATGTAATAAAGACAAAATTAACGAAGGAGTTATTAAAAAACCTAAGAATGAATATGCATACACTCTGAGTTTAAAATCATTTTGCAATGCAAAATACTTCTAAAGTTCATTAAGATTATATGTCATGCTCTTTACACTGTGGGTAACGTTCTGATTCAATGAATTTGGGTTCAAGACTTTAAGTGTTTAAAGTGCAAACGTTTCGGCCAAATTAAAATGACCTCATTGTGAACCGCACCACAGGAGTTGGTACAACCAACAAGCCTTTCTGCTCCTTAGGTTTCTGGGTCTTGAGGTAGCTTAGTCGGCTGTAAAGAGTAGCATCAGGCTTGAATACCAGGTTGAGTCCGGACGCAGATCCAATGCGTCGCAGCTTTTCACTCAGCTGGCGAACGTATGGCAAGGAAATCTAGACGTTGTTATCAGGTGAGCGGCGAGACACCCTTTGTGTACCAACTCACGTGCTTATGTGATGCGGTTTACACAGGCGAAACGGGTAACACTGTTGAAGAAAGGAAGACAGACCACATGAAGAATCTCATCAGGTGGAAGAACGCTGACGCTAGAGAAAGGGGGTCAACGGCAAGTCGGTAGAGGACGGACACAGATCAAAAACCCTGGGCTTATAAAGGCAGTAAGCGAGAAAAATTCTGCCATTGTGGAACATGCTGTTATCCACCAACACAACATATCGTGGGACAAAATGAAAGGCGTCACGCGGGAACAACAATATCTTTCCCGCAAGGTCAAAGAAGCGTTGCTGATCAGAGCAACCAACTGTATGACAGACGTCAGCGACATATGGAATGCAAACATCAGGCGGCCAGTCAAGACTAGAAAGCAAACACGACACGATTAATCATACGGGTCAACCAGACCGAATGAAAACATTATGTGCCTTTTGTCAGTGTACTCTGAAGATGGATCCAGCTTGATCTGAAACGTCAGATGTCCCTAATTAAAGAACATTTTGTACATTGTCTTCCCGTTTATGACTTACCTAAAGAGTACAAAATGGAATAAATCTGTTATGGAATAACAAAGCAGAGTCAGTTTAGTTTACACAAAGTGTCAAACGTTTGGATCATGCTTAATCGATCGACTGTGAATAAACTGTTGTAAACAAACAAATGCAATGGCACGACAAACCTTATAAATATTGTTGCATAAATCTGGTTGGTCCCATTTTATTTCTTAAACATGGAAAAAGTACGATTCCACAACTCGTGGAGATCATGATAGAATAAACGGTATATACCGATTCATTTCCTAACCGATTCATGGCATTCTGGTATAAAGATTTGAAGTCTGCTTTAAAAGTAGCGGTGCGCCGTAATCTCTAAAAAAAATTTGACGTCTATCATAACTTCAGTTCTTAAGCCATGCAGAATCGAGCACAGCTCACTACACCATCTTTCTCAAAGAATAATTCGAAAAGAGCGGAAAGAAAGCTCATGTACGCTTTTATGCAACTTCTTGAAGGAAATTTACTAGATTCCGCATTATCCCACTAATAAACGGTTTTGGATTTTATCATTCCTCTAGGGTGTAAAATGCTTAATCTTGTCCTATGTTTCAATCCGTCAATAGACATCACAATGATCTTTTCGTTCTTAGTCACAGAATCAAGCACTGCAATACTATTTTCAGAGTCGTTGCTTTCTGTCAGAATGAAACCAAAATATCACAAAAACCCTATATTCGCTTCACGATGGTTCCAGTGACGGCAAAATTCGTGTACAGTACCATGTTTATGCAACACACTAATGGAACTTCGTTCTTATCTTCGATGACCCAACTTTGACGAAAGATGAAAAGGTGTATCTCTTCAAATTTTGACGTTAAACGTTTGACAGCAACGGACGATGTATTCCCACTCTTGATGCAACCAGAAACGGGTATTTGATTTAAACCTTAAAAAAATAATGATACAGCGGCAGTCATTTATCATTTAGAATTGCCTACAACCTGCAATGTGGAATTGTATAGTATGCCATGTAGCAGTTTGTTTACTTCGCGTTTGAGATTTTCATGATTTTAAAATTTAATTGCTCAAAATTAGACAGATTCTCACATCTGAAACGGTAAACTAACAAAGAAAAACGATCTGTTTCATCGATTTTTCATACATAAGACATAAATTGTTACAAAAAAGGACTTACATTCGTTCGAAGAGCGATGCTTGAACATGAATTGGACGTGGATGTTGCTGTACTGCTCAACCGGAATCGAAAACTGTAAACAGAACACTCACTGCCTTCTGATAAGCAGTTCAGCGGTCAACACGCTTTTTACCTTAACCGTTTCAAACCATCGCGGCTTGTCCTGATGATAATAGACGGTGCTTAGGTAGTAGTCTTCCTTGAACGTTTTCGATCCAACTACGCTGATACTCTAAAAGATGATTAATAAACCGACCTGTGACCTACGATACACTACTAACGTGAGGGACGTCCAAGTTTGCGTTTTCACTGATCAGACATACTCGCACCTCGATGTTCTTGTCTGATCGTCCGCAGTGAGAAAAATCACCTCCAACCAGAGTCACATACAAGTCGTTCCGAACGTCATCTAAAAAGCACATGCAAGAGCAAAAAATACGACAATTACGTCAACATGTACACTGAACGTCAGAGATCATTTTAATCAAACTGAAACTACTGAATGACTTATTTTAAACCTGAACCGCCTTGCAAAATATCTAAAACCTCTAGAAATGGAGCGGTGCATTTACGCCGTATCAATCAGTAGGAATGGCACGTGAATGTCATTCAAATCGGCTGTATCGTAAACTAACTTTCGTTAGTAAATCCAAATCATGGGTATTTCAGATTGAACAGTGAATTATGCAATAGGCTTACCATTATATTGTTGTGTTATATTTCGACGAAATTTGCAGCGTAGGATGCATACGAAAATAAAAGCGTATCATCATAGACACACAAATACGTAGTTCTTTCATACATTGGAGTTTTATATACGCGTTTAGAAGTAAATATTTCTTGGTTATTACATAAGATTGGATTGCTGATTCGATAACATGTTGTGATTCAACTGATAATGAAAACTGGCAACGTTCATTCAGACAAAAATAATGATATTAAGTACAAGTTGCCAAAATAGCTCATCTCCTCAAAACAAGAGCTGAATGCGTATCGTCCATTCATCAGCCCCGTAGGCCCGAAGGCTGCCAAAACGTCGCATCAAACTACAATACTTGTAGTCAGCATCACCGCTGATATTTGTCATTGTCGAGACACGTATGCGTGAGTTGACTGGATTATATTATTACTTATGTTCAGGTTCACGAAGACTTTTGTCGTCGAGAGCAGACAACAGGGTCAGTTTTACTGATCGACGCCATTATCGTTGCTGTACAACTCCCCTACCCCAAACACTAGGACAGCAGGGAAATGATTATCAGGATCAATAGATTTCTTGATTCATGACGTCACTGCTATATACTGGAGACGACTACTCGTTTATAGCTTAAACGTAGCAAATTTAGCTATGCGAACTTAGGACCGAATACAATGAAAGAAACAGGTAGTACGAACTCATCTCCTTGTATGTCCTAAAGTCCAGTGTCTCAACTTCTTTAGGACAGGCATATTACCGTGCAACGAACGTTTAGTGGGCTCTATTCTGAATAAAAATGATCTTGAAAAAAACAGTACAAGAAAGTTTACATAGAAATGGTCAAATATATCAATAAAATATAAGCATAAAATATATATATGGATATAAGGCAGTGAGTGACTTTCGATCACCCCTTATCCTTTTGGGTAACGGAGGCATCGACATCAGACAGTGTCTCCAACAGTCCTGATACTGTGCCAGCATTTGAGCTTCGGCAAAAAATAACCCGAGTTTGGAGCAGAGTCCTTCGAGGTACCTGTAACAGCTTATTCTTGGTCCCTCCCTGGCTTCTTCGCACAGTCTCTTGAGCAAGTAACAGCTGTTTTGCAAATCCTTCTGGAAGCACCCCCGTAATTTAATGCATTCATTTATATTTGCGAAATCTGGCAATGATTTTATTCTCAAATTTTCTATTCCTGATTACCGAAGTCGTGAAAAAACGTTAATTTAATCACCAATAACTGAAAGCAATCATCAAAGATCGTTTATACCTCGACTCGTTCTGTTTACAAGTCAACATCTAATCAGAATAGGCGGTTTGATCACGAGTTTTCAACATTCCCTGTATTAATACAACCCGCAGGGCATGGTCGTTTAGTCCGGAATAGCCATAATTTTCTTAAAGAATTAAAGCATAAAGAATTCCGCCAGTCGCCGTTAGCGTGTCTTCTTTAAGAGTTTCAGAGTTTATGAAGTACCGCAGCTGTTCGACAGTACAGAGAAAACTGCATTTGACCATACAATCTTCTTCTTTAATAGTTGTCTGATATCGCGATGAGGTCACTGACATTAGAATATGAACAATGCGGATCAATCAAAAGAACAGTTAAGATAAAAATTACGGCCACGGAAAACACATTCATGTACATTTAAATTTTATAAGGCTTACCTCTGAAAATCACTTCGGGAAAACCCATTTTTCGGATCAACGCCGGCATCGGTGTGAAAAGATGTGCGTAGGTGTTTTTCACCTAATGAAAAAAATCAATAAACTTATGGACTGGACTACTTCGCGAAAATGCAAAAAACTACTTCGTCAAAATTTCCACAAAGAAACTGAACCGAAAGATACAATCCCTGACTTCTCAAATCACCGTCACTTTCGGTGTAGTTCGATTCCGTCAGCTTCTTCACCAGTTGGTCGACGGACTCATCCTGTAATCTAAAGAAATTAAGAAAACTTAAAGGAGGTACGTCAGCTATACAATAAAATCCATCGTTAAAAAAAACAGCGTACCGTGTAATTCACACCTGAAGATATACGATTATCATTAGCCTGACAATGAAATGGGACCTTAAACTGTATTCATCAATTATGCAACGTGTATCTGATATCTGCTGCAGTTCCTGCTGACGTTTTCTGCCTAGCGAGTTAACAGTTAATGCAGTCAGAGATGGTGAAAAACATGTAGCAGAAACGTGCTGATGCGCCTCTGATGGATGATCTCAAACTGAGAAAAAGAAAATAAGGGCTTGCAACCGATTGATGTCACTTCATAGTGCTGAATTAGTGAGAAGAATGTGCGAGCAAAATATGTGACTGCAATTTATATTATTTATGTCTACTTTTCTCGAAAACTCGGGCTAGCAGAAATTACAGGATAGGCTGAAAGGCAAATAGTGCTGGTCTAAGTATGGTCTATAGAAAATATGCCGCGAAATGATGAGAACATGGGTTGTATTATAGAAAAATTTGCATTCTAAACACTTACGTTATAAAAAAGAAAAATTTTAAGGAAGCTCAACAAAAACTAATCACATCAATAAGCCCTAGGAAAGTTTAACATTCGGTGAACTCACATGGAAATAAATATATTTTAAAAGCAGGCGCAGACAAGTGCACATTAATTCTTCCCTATTCCCACCCCAAAGGAAATTCATAGATAGTGATCATGAGTCAGGGAATCAGCTAAAAATAATTGGAAAGTCAGCCTAATAAGACTCCCACGGAATGACTGCGTTGCGATGAATGGCAAAAATTATATTAAATTGCCCTGGAATTTCAAAAGCAAAGGAGCGATGCACCAAGGCAGTAACAGCAAGTCAAAATATATATTGAGATACTACAAGATAAGGGCACATTCAGAACATTCTGTGAAAACGTAGTAAACAATTTTGAGTGATTGACGTAGATCCACAGTGAAACAAGTGAATCCTATCATTCAGTCAGCTGGCACTGTCACCGTTTCTTAACTACGGTGAAATCTTGAATCGATCTAGCCAGCATTGGAAAGTCTTCATGGTCAACATTCAAAAACTAAGCAAAAAGTATGCAATGCTATGTTACATAGTTATATACCTAAGTCGTTAGATCACGCTAGGCAACTATCCTGATTCTACGTTGATTAATCAAATATGCGAGTGAATCAAATTCCACCTACCTCTAACTCTCCTTCTCTGTACTGCAAGAAACTACACACCTGCTCAGCATATCAAATTGATTTTTTGTTGTTATCGATGAATACAGCCAAGGGTAAAGTAATTTTCATTACTATCGTCAACAGACTTATTATACGCCCTAACTTAACGTAAAATATAAAAGCTCCGGTGATGATTCATCGATGAATTAACAGCTTGAAGGACTAACAATGTACAATGTGAAACGTAATACGCACTGTACAAAAATTCAAAATTCTCACTAATATGAACTGCGAAAACTACCGCCGTTGGCGGTAAAAAGCCTAGTTCAGAAAGGAGGAGGGTTGAAGACCTGACGAGGTCTAGGTAAAAGTTCGCCACCTGTCAATAATGGCGTTGAGGTCATCGAAAATTATACCGCCAACTGTTGGGGGAGAGAGGCAGACTACGAAGAAGAATCGGCGAGCAGAACCTGGTCATCGCTCTCTGCCAGCCGGTCAACTAGGTTTTAATGAAAAATTTGAGGAACAGATCGACCGACGAACTGCAGTAACCAGTGGCGTTCTGCGTGAACGAGCCCGAACAATGGTGACTAAAGCAGAGCTAGTCTGAAGAATAAACTCTCGGTGTCCAGGTCGATCCCAATGCTCACCTACGGTCAAGAGTCGTGGACGATTACTGAAAAGCTTCGAACCCGGGTACAAGCTGCTGAAATGCGCTTTCTGAGGCGAGTCGCTGGCCTTACGCGTCTCGATATGGCCCGGAATACTGATATCTGGGAGAGCCTTGGTGTACATTCGCTGTTTTTATAGACTGAGAAGTCACGCTTCGACGTTTTGGACACATGCTGTGAATACCTTCGGAAAGGAAAGCTAAGCAACTGTTTCTTGCCAAACTGACCGGTAGAAGGCCCAGGGGAGGGGCAAGATTAACCTGGTGCAAATATATGGAAGCAGTCTGCTCCAGACTCAAACTGGATTCAGCTGAGGCTGACCCTGGCATTGGATCAGAAACGTTGGTAGCACGGTCTGGCGTGTCTGCCTTCACGACCCGAAAGGAGAAGCGGTCATGGAAGATGCAGAAAAAGAGCTGCGGAAAGTAACTTTTCACTGCGTAACTACATGAGTGGATTGATAGTATATCGCTCATGCATTCATTGTGTTAAATGCAGCGGAATTCTCGAAGTTGTTACTGCTCTAGTCCTTTAGGACATAATCCTCAACTTCAGAATCTCTTCTCTTCAAGAACGGTGCAATGCAAAGTGAAAAATTCCACGAATAAAATGAACTGAAAAGAAGTAAGTCTACTACTGAAATATGTAGGATCTTGTAACACGTTCGACGCTAATTTCAGTAATTATATCACGGAAAATAAAAGGCATCCAGTGATAAGATTATGAAATTTATCTCAAACTGCCATCCACTAGTGTGATAAAACTCGACGAAGTTTGAGGTATCCTCGAAGCCGTTCCTTCTTCTGGTCAGGAGATGCCAGTTGCAGTGCTTTCAAGATGTAATGTGCATGTCAAAACGGAAACTCGCAAGGCATACACCTAACAGTTACCGAGAAAACGGTCCAGGGACAGAACGTTCACTCGACAGCTCCCTAACAAGGATGACTTACCAGTGTCGTGACAAAGTATCAAAACCACTAATCTTATCTGCTTGGCGGGCACCGGGATTATATCAGTGGCCTCCTGAAGCTGAGTGCGTCTTGAAAACGAATAAACGAATCGTTTGTATCAAAAATTAGATAATATTTTTCTATCAAAAACATTTTGTACTTCTCTGCTCTCTGCATTCTTTACTTCAGTGTGGCTCAAAAAGATGTCAAACTTAAAAAATGTTATTGCGATACTGAAAACAGTATTACAATACATAGCGAAACTTACGAATAGAGAGTGACGAAGGTTTGTTTCTCTTCTGAGTCTTCAGGTAAACCTATATTTTTTGACGAATAAAACGGGCCCGTTCGGGGAAAGAGGAACTGCTTCGTTTTGAGAAATTCAGACAGGTTCAAAAGCCCAATTCCATACATCTGCCTGACAGCAGTAGAGCTCGCCCCTCTTCGGCCGCCCAGTGTTTCCTTCGGTTCCAGAGGTCCTTGAAAGGCAAGGAATCAAATAATAAAAAACTGTTCATTGCAGATCTACTCACCAACTTTTACGACCCTGCATAGTAGGAATAGATGTTCGCGCTCCAGATCCTTAGTGCCCAAATCCTGAAATCCTCCGGTGCTTCAAATATCACCATGGAATACCATACCGTAAACAAGATTCGCTGATCCTGGTTTCCAATGGCACTGTTTCGCGTTGTGTCCCCGTCTACGTGCTTCGTGAAGTAAGGTAAAATAATCGTAAAACACTCCCTGAAATTCACGTGTAACAGACAGCAGAAGAAACCGCCAACTCACGAAATAAAATTTCCTTCTTTCGCATCGTACAACATAAACGAGATCTCCAGTTTCGACGAACAAGGGCACAAAAAGTCGAGAAACGTGAGTAACACGTTCCAACTGCCCTGTGTCCATTTCATATCTGAACTCTTTTCCATTCGATTGGCTATCCGCTAAAGATTCAACGACTGTATATAAGCACACGGAGTAAAAGCAGGCTGCAACAGACTCCAAATAACCAGTGATGTAGCCAGAGCGATTTATTTAAAAATCCAGAAACATAATCAGTTTAAAATAGTAAATCGTTATTAGAAAAAAGACGCTGTGTTGGAGCTTGTGAACATGAGCTGCAGATGAGGCAGAAAATCTTTCGTACAATAAACGAAAATTGCTGTCACCTTTATTCAGCGTAAAATTTCTGACGACAATGGCAATCACCAAATAATACTCAAGTACCCTAAAGCTAAAGACAAACAGTGACTTATAAATGGCGAATTATAATTTCTTTAATTTACGGTTTACACTTCTTCTGTCAGTAATCAAATAAGTAAAGGCGAACTCAACGGATAGCACATTCAAAAGTTTCCCACGATCTGGCATCATCATGCCAAAGTAACACTGTCTCAATTGTTCGCAACTCTTCCTATCTGTTTCTCGGGTGGCTAAACCAAAGCACAGTTCAGCTAATTATTTACTAAGGGAAACTGACAATTACAAAACATTTACATTGCGCATGGGATTTGAATTCAACACAAACAGCAAAGCAAGCTATTCGTCCAATCTGCCACAGCCTGAATCTAATATGATTAAGTTTAATAGTGATGAGTCCGGTTAGACTAGTTCATCACTATTCCAGAGGGTCCATACAGCATTTCCCGATATCTAACATGTTAAGAGGATCCTGATCGGTGATTAACCAGTTAAGAATACGCGTATCAAAATCATGCATTATATGGATTTACTGAAGAAAAGAACTACGTGCACTCGTTGTTTGGTTAACAAGTTATTTGAATGAGGAAGCACAAAGAAGGCAAAAATAATCCTCCAGTATTTTCTCACGAAATGGATGGCAGCAGCGAAGAGCGTCTGTCACTGTTGAGCCAAACGATTAATAGACACAGCATAAATTAGAGCACAACAAAGCACAAACCGATTATAAACACTCATTAAACTCGGGTGTATCACGCTGATGTACGGATAAACGTTTAGAGGCGAAGGGAGGAATACAGAGCTGCCTCCTTAGTTAAAATTAATTGAAAGAAGTCAGTTTCATGAACGATTAAGGGTAAGCGATGGTTCAAACTCAGGCTAGTTCAGATGATAGGGTACCAGCCTAGCAATCGAAAGATCTCTGATTTAAGCCTCAGACAGATCAATCATTTTATCTCCTTCGAGGTGGACAAATGAATATCAGTAGGAGAGAAGCAAACCGGATGTAGCAGTCGCTTAGTTTTACATACTGCTTTGAGAGTGCGTGCTTCAGAGAATATCGTGATACCTGTCAGTTTGATAAAAGTGCGCAATCAACTAAGTAAATTTTAACTTTGTTCTGCTGTTTTCTGAGTCTGCTGATTAACCGAATGGTTACTAAAGAGTGCATAACCAGTCTATATATCTACTTATATTTTGGCTTTACCATTTCCTCTGCGATGC